CCCCGTGGGGGGGCGGCCGGCGCCCCCCCGCCGCTCCCCTTCGCTTGAGCAAATAGTTTTCAAGGCTCCCCGCTTCTGCTGGGCTGCACGCTGCCTGCCAGGCAACACGCCGCCGCTGACACTGGTCACGGTACACACCTAATGGCCTGACCTCCTTTCCCTGCTAATTGCATTACACAGCCAGCTGGCTCCAGAGAGGAGTCGTCTGTTTGACTGAAGAATTTCTGCTTTTGGGGAGGCATGGCTGCTACTTTTGCTAAGTAACAGTCAGGCCTGACATCCCCATTGTCTGGCTGACAGTGTACCCATCCTAAAATCTAAGTTTTATTTGTAAATTAACCAAGAAACTTCCTGCCAGAACAGTGCTGCCTGGAGACTGATAATGTGTGCCTTTCATTCCCTTTCACTCTTACTGTATCACTGCCAATTTGTTTTTCTGCTGCTCGCCAGCCCTAGGCTATAAAAGCCTTGTAAGACATAAGTGCAATTATAGTCCTGGAGTCAAATGAATTGGACAAATCCAATAGCACAGCTCTGTCCCCACTTTGCAAACCCCTACAGCAGTTAGATTAGCTGCTAAAAATCTAATCTAGCTCTGGCTAACAAATTTCTGCAGCGAAGGAGCAAGAGTTCAGTATGGGGTTGCAACCAGATTTCTGAATTGAAAAAGTTCTGCTATGACAATGGAGAAGATGGAATAAGTCACTGAAATTTTGCAGCTCATTTTTAAACCGTTAGGTACAATTTATGTAGAACAAGACAGGGGAAGGTAGGATGCTGTTACCATGATTGATTTTCATTCTTGCCACAAGACAGCCAGATAAAAAAAAGTTTAGAACCAATGATGCTGAACCCTACAGCAGCAAAAGATATCAGATGAATTTTGATTATGCCACTAGAAAAGATTTCTTTCAAGGCTAAGACTTATTTGGAGAGGTTTTTTTTCTCCCCCTCTGCTCCCCCCCCCCCCCCCCCCCCGAATGAGCAATATAATGTGTCAGCATATATATCAAATAAAGGAATACAAACTGCAAATTACAACTGTACTGCACAAAAATAAGGGGCCAAGTTCATCCTCAGTGGAAGTGCACTTATTCTTGTGAATTTATACCAGAAATTAATTTATTCTCGTGTTTGGTAAAAATAAAGAAACATAATAACATATTTAAGTAAAATTACTGCATCTGCTTAATTCCCCAGCCCACAGAATTTATGGCCTGCTGTACTACTTCCTTGGCCAGCAGGTGGTAAGACCTTCTGTTCAGCTCTGGAGCTTGCGAGCCAAGCACACTGATTGGTATTGAATTCTTTCTGCCTGTCTGTAGGCAAAATAAGCAGAGAAGAAACCACAGAAATGACACAAAGATTTCAGAGATAAGGGGGACCTTAGATCCCAGATAGTATCCATGCAACCCTATCTGATGGAAGCAGGGGCAAGGCAAGCAAAAAGTTGTGGCCCCCATTGCATCCTGATTGGCAACATGATAAAAATTTTCTCCCCCCAGTAATACTGTTCTCTAACACCATATATAGTTCTATCGCAGCAAACATTACAATGAAGCAGGTACTGAATGACAGCATCGTAATCTGCCTTCCTCTCACACACTGCTATGAAAAAGCAGCACTAACGGAAAGAAGTAATAAATATAAAATAATCTTTTTAACCTGGACATACCACCCCAATAATCTCAGGTGAGGACCTAAGCCCAGCATGTACTAACTGCTCAGTGAGCAAGTGGAAGTATTAAAATACTTGTGATGATCTTGAGAGTTGCCATGATCTCGGAAGCAACATTGCATTTGATCACGACTCTGTTAACCAGGTATTGCAGAATTCACAAGCGCAGTATCAACAGGTGGGAGAAATAAATAAATTTTCCTCTTGTTTAAGAGTATGTTGCAGGCAGGCACGTGTTTCTTTTCGAGCACACATGCCAGTTGTGGTCTGCACGTGCAAAGGCTGCCAAAATCAACATGGGACTTCTGCGGACTGAGGAATTTTGTTGCTAAAGCATCAGTGTACTTGCCTTTATGTATTTCAGTATATGGCCTCCAGAGCTAAGGTTCACAAGTGGAATTTCAAGAAATTGACACTTTCAGGGTTATAAGAGTTCTTGCAGGATGTTTAATATTGTCTTTAGAAATGGTTTGGATATACACTCATGCTCAAAACACTGGTTTCAAATGCAGGCTAGTTCTTCCATCAGCTTTTTCAAAGAATTAGAGTACTATCAATCTTCCAGAAATTTTTCAGTGCTTCTGAAATGCATCTTGCCTCCACTCTTAGCTGCAGTTTTGTAAAATTTGTTAAGAATTCTATGCTAATTTGCACAGAAATACACGCTTGCTTACAAAAGAGCTGTGACAAATTAAACGAAACTGTTCTGCACGGAAGCACGGAACCATGGAAGATTATATGTTAAAAAAGACCTCTGGAAGTCATCTGGCCCAACCCACTGCTTACAGCGGGGCCAGCTCCCAAGGTCCATTAGGTTGCTCAGAGCTTTGTCCTTCTTTACAGGAATAAACAGTTTGATCCCTGCAGGGTTCCATTCCTATAGCAGATTTAAGGCTGGTTTTTTTTTAAAGTCTTAAAGCAATTATTTTGCAGTATTTTCTGTGGGTAATACGTACTGGAGCTGGCCTTGTTTCCTAGCACTTCAAGACTTGGAGGCTGGCAACTACTAAATGCTTTTACTTTTTCTTTCTCACAAAGAAGAAATTCTCTTAAAGCAAACATAGGGAAGACAATTAAATAGAATAAATAGACTCTCTTAATGTCTGTGTTAATCCCTAACGTGGGTGGGAATTAGGAGAATTAGTAAAATAGACTGTTTGCAATTAAAACCCATTTTTCCTCCTGTGGTAGCTCTGTCAGACTGTGCTCTCTCCTCTCCCGGGTGATGTATTACTCAACAGCTAGATGCTATGTCACTGCTTTTGCTATGCTTCCATAAAATCCAGGAGCTATGACTTGCAAGGGAAGATTAGACTAAACGACCACAATTTGTGTAGGAAAAATAAGACTGGGAAAGACATGGTAGCAGTTCTCAAACACGAATAAGTCTGCTGCAAAATGATCTGTTCTCCATATCCATGCGGAATAGGGTAAGAATGGGCTTAAATTGAAGCAAAGTAGATGCTACGAGAAATTTTCTTATGGTACAAAAAGCGGAGCATAGGAATACACTGCCTAGGGAAACTGTAAAGCATTCATCACTGGAGTTTTTAACTAGCAGCTAGATAAATACTGGCCAGGAACAATTAAAATACAGATAGTCCTACCTTGGTAAAGCGATAGAGACTATACAGCCTCTTAATATGTAGCACAGCCCTACTTCTCTATCCTAAAGCACTCAGGTTACATTTTTTTTCCATAGCCATGTAAATCCACTAATGCAAAGATAGTAAGTTGCATACATAAAGAGAAACATGTAATTTTGTTGACTTTTTTTTTTAATGACAGATATCACAATACAAAAGAAAGGATCTAGCTTTACCATTAAATGCTGGGCAAGTTCTCAGGGCGGGTAATCAGAAATTCCACCTTTTTATTTCGAGGAAAAGCACATGTTATTTTGAAACTAACTGGACAACAAATACAATCACCCAGTGACATATTTATAGATAATTTTCAGAGCACAATAGTATCACATGGTAGACTGGATGGCTGTAGTAGCATTATTAACACACATTAACAACCTACATAGGACAAGTTGCCAATCCTAATTAAAAAGGCAAAGATTTGGTATGCACCTAAAACCTTCTTTGACTCTAAGCAGCAGTTGGCAAGCACCGTAATCTCAAATCACTCCTTGTTAGGAAAGACAAATGATTAAGTACTGATACCAACAAAATTTTGGGCTGGGGTCTGGCCATCTTTGAAGCAGAGTCTGCTTGTCAGAATTGTGAATAACTGGATAATGGCTTTAAATATCAGCTGGCTGCTTTTGGTACTATGCTTGTCACTTCTCTTTCACTTCTTTTCTTTTCTGTTACACGCTGGACGATTCATCTGTAAGGTTTTATTATGCTGCATTTGGTTGTTTTGTTCTACCAAACTACAACAGTTTTGGCAGGCAGACAACATACAAATGAAATTATTGCTAATATTATTACTAATGGTGGTATTTGAGGCTACCATGGAAATGTTAATTGTGTTTCACCATCCAGAATTTAGATGCCATTTAATTCAGATAATCTAGCTGCAGAGCACCATGTGGCACAGCAAAGATGGCCTGCTAGGACCAGTTAGCACAATCTGTTTTCAGTTTAAACTTTAATTTAAGCACTTGAAGACTACAGACAACGTTTTGAAATCCACAGCAAATTATTTACCTTTTTGGTCAGTGAATCATCCGAATCTGATGGCATTCTTGTAGACACATGAAAAATTATTTCCACGGTAGAGGTAGCATAATAGGGTGCCGTTTGTCCTGTGCTGCCATTGCGCTGAAGGCCGCCCATAAACCCACCGTGTGTTGAAAGATCAACCTGATTGATTGAAAGTCATAATTAGAAGAAATATGAAAAGACTGACGAATAATCAGTATTTATTTATATATCAAGACTTGGTGAATTTACCACTCTAGAATTCTGTAGCCATCCCAGAGAAAGAGAAGTCCTCCCCTAAGGGTTTGTGATCTTTGCATTAGATCTATTTCCCATTCCTGTATTTGACATTTACTAAAAGTAAACATCTCTTAACCAGGTACTAAGTCATTATCTATACGGCTATTTTACCTTCCTTCCAGCAAACAACAGCAAGGAAGCAAAAGCATTCTGTCATGCGCAGCTGCTCTAAGGGCTATGCATGGCTTAGCAAGCCCATTCAAAGCACACACAGCGAGAAATAAAGTGCAGAGAAAACATAAACAAGCAGAATAACTGCAAAAGAAATTGAAGATTTGTACAAAAAGAAAAACCTTAGAAGAAATTATTCTAGAAGATTATTCAGAAGAAATGCCCCTCTGAAGACAAGCCTGTGTCCAAAAGCTTGTTTGTTTTCCCAACTGCATCAGTCTAACTGAGGATGCTACCTCTCCCTGTAGATCTTATGTCACTTAAATCCTTAAACAGGAAATGCAGCTACTATATATTTCCAAAAAACATAAATGTTCATGTCATTTAGGTTACTGACTCCCCATTTCAACAATGCAAACTAAAACCAAACGTTTTTGTCCTTTGTAAAGCAGTCATGTGGTTGGGTAAGCGGTCTGACCATGTGAAGAGCTAAAAGGAGCTAAAATTAAGGTAAAATTATGCTATAGCTCTTAATGATGCAGAAAGAAGTGTCCACTGCAGCACCAGCTGTCCATCAGAAACAGGAAGGATGTGTTCATCCAGAAGTAGCATGTGGATTTACAGAATTCTGCTAAAAGGGTGATCTTTTAAGTACTGCAAAATATTAGACTGTATTTTTTTTTTTTTTTGAGAATTAGAAAATATGCAGTTTGTTTTCCATTTACGTATTTTAACCGGCTTACATTGATTTTTGTAGGTCTTCAGATCAAGTATGTTAGCTTGCCTAAATTTATGACTATTACCTCCCAGCCCAGACCAGCAACAAAGTCTTCATATGCCTGGCTTCCCCTTGCATTGGACAGTATTGAACATTTGTCCTCCTGTCCTTCTGCAATGTAAAACACTGCAATCTTGTGAGTTTCACGGCTGTAATTAGATATAAAAAAGAAACGAAAGTTAAAGAAGATTTAGCTCAAAATTATTTTAGATCACCTGCACTCAAAAGCTATGAGTTAAAGAATTTAGCTCAAAATTATTTTAGATCACCTGCACTCAAAAGCTATGAACAGGTGACCATGTTTAACTCTACATGTCTATTTCTTTTATGCACACAAATACACCACTCAATTTCAGTTGCAGAAACATATTTTCACCAATTTTTTCCCCACGACCACGCTGCAGAGACACCACAGTTCAGAGAGCCGACCTGAGTCTATTCCTTCTGTGCATCAGCAAAAGAATTGATGACCAAGTTCCAATTACAGGGTTAATGGCTTACATCTGTGCAACCTTGCTGAAGACAGTAAGATTGCACAGGTGTTAATGGGAGCATAATTTGACCTACAGAATTTTAATTATAGGGTGATGAGATACAAGAAAGAAAAAACATTGACTTTCAGATCCTGGGCTGAGTTTTACAAGGCTGACAGTGACAGTTGGCTTCTTTGAAAACAAGCTGAGTGGATTTGGTATGAAAATTGTTGGGATACAAGAAAATCGGAAGTCTGTAATGCTGCGGATGTTTTTCAAATAGCTGTATGTCAAGTAATGAAAAAGAAAACAGAACATTCAGAACTCTGTTCTGCCGCTACCTGGCTGTAGAGTAGCTGTATGGAGATTACCCCTTAAAATACCGCTCTTGACACAGGGATCATCCTGCAGAAAATAGTCCTTTGTGTGAGTTGAGCCAGGGTCACAAAAAAATTTTGGAACTTCTTCCCTCCCCTCCCAGCTGAAGAAAAGAGGAAAAAGGTTGCTGCATCTTATTATTTGCTACTGATTTTGAATTCTATGTATATAGTACCAGTGAAAATAGCTTGTCCATTCAGGCTACAGAACTCTTTAGAAACAAACAATCCATTTTTCATACAAATATTTGTATTGCTAGCACATGCAATTTTAATGAATTTTTGGTTTCGGTGACATACTTATTCTTTCTTTGGAAATGCTAACCTTATCAATGGTGTGTTTACTAAACGTTACCTACCATTGGCGGGAATCCAGATTTTTCAGTTCTCGCAGTAATTTTGAATTTTTCTTAAGAAGATGAAAGCTTTTTCTATAAATATATAAAAAAAGATTTGAAGGAAAATGCAACACAGTACAGACACAGTATTTTCTCAAATACCTAAGAGAAAGGAATCAAATTAGCATGATTCAAATGATTTATTATTATAACTATTATTATTATTATAATAAACAATCTGCAGATGTCTATTTAAAATAATCACAGAAGCAGGTATATGTGTAAGTTCAAAAGTATGCTCTGACTTGCACCCAGCTACATAATTCTTGCTTTCTTAAGTGTGTACACGTTTGGGGGTAGAATTGAGTACTGTAAACATGTTCTGGATCCTCTCTTCCTACCTTCTATCCCAGGAGTTCATTCCCAAGTCATTTAGCAACAGCCGACAGAAATAAAAGGATGCTTGAGGTTCAGCAGGACGTGGTTCTTCCTGATGGGCCACCTTCATACTGAAGTCTGAGCTGCATTTAAATATATACTCTTTCTCCTGGGTGCTCTGCCTCATCAGGGCTTCAGTGATCGCATTCTCTTGGTCATAGCTCACACCGAAGGGTGGTGGCGATGGCTCATTCAGCTTTCGCTGGGGATGTAAAAGGCATTCAGGACTGGTGTTGCCAATCTTTTCCAGCAATTGGTCGAGAGCATCTTCTCCTTCTTCCACCTGAGAAATCTCTTTCTGGGAAATGAAGTGGTGCTCAGAGTTGCCTGAGATCACAAACGCGTTCGTTGCGCTCTGCCGCGGAAGGCAGCCCTCCAAAGGTCCATACAATATTCTGCCATCCCAAGAGTACTTCCCTGAGATATCTCTGACAATTACCCTTACGTCCGAGGGGGCTGCTGCTGGTTCAGTGTCTGTCTTCTTCTCTGCGGGGATTTGGAGGTAAGATATAAGAGTACTGTCATTAAACACGAAGAGCTGCAGGTTGGGACTCCGGAAGACTTCTGAGGACAGCTCAGAGGACTCCACGTAGGAGTTGTCGTGGTTCTCGCTAAGGAGACTGTGGAGAATGGCAGGGCCTCCACTGAGCGGGTAGTGGCTCAGGTGATTCACCAGGTGAGTCATAACCATCCGTGCTGTTAAAGGTATCAATTCTAAGTTCCTCCGCCTTTTTTCTAAAATGATCAATGAAAAGGTAATAGATCAGTAAAAGCAGCAAGAGGTAATTAAAAAAGAGCATCTGCAAATTTCTGTCATATTTCAGAAGCTTGCTTTAGTTGTCCTCCTAATCCTTTCTGTTCAAGAAGCTATTTACAATCACTTTCCAAGAAATTCTACCTGTCACACATTTTTATTTTATTTTACCACATGCCCTTTGACATCTAGCCTACAGTCACATCCAGAAGTCCATACAACATGCAAAAAGTCCTGCACACCGATCCCACAATGCCTGCTGTCACTACAGTTTCATCTGGCAGGTTAAGGTGTTTCTCCTTACCGCCTGTATTCCCACAGCCGTCCATCCCCACAGCAATCATAGCAAGAGGGGGACAGGGCACAAGAAACAAAAGGTAAACCAGAGATACAACTAAAAACCAATGCTCCTCAATCTTTAGCAGCATGGTGGTAGAGTTTGTTGTATGAGGCAGGAAGAGACTTTCTGGATCCCAAGATATTCCCCCTCAGCGCAGGCAAATACATCAGTTATTTCATAAATCGATCGTGCTCTGCGTTACATTGTGCCTCTACTTCTCCTACTGGAATGTTATTCCAGAATATTACCCCTTTTGTAGCCAGAAGCCTTCTAATTTCCAATTTTTGTTCGTATTCTGTTTAAAACCATTTTTCTTTACTTTATAGTGTTTTCCTCTTTCCTTGGTATTTATACCTTCTAATGCACTTTTAAAACAACAGGTATATCCCTTTTTCAGCCTTTTGCTAGCCCCAAAAAGCCGAAATTCTTCAGACTCCTCTCATAAATAAGGCTCTCTATTCTTTCCCTGAATCCCCCAGTAGTAAATCTCTGAATTAATCTTTTTCAAAAACAAGCAAACCAAAGAACTTGTAGGGCACTAACATATCCAAGATGAGAAACATCTTTTTCTACCTAAAACGACAAATGTACCTGACACTTAACTTTATCTTTCTGCTATTCACAACGTGTCCTACTCAGCAAGAAATCTGTGCAGAATAGGTTTTAATGTTTTTAGCCTTTTTATTAAAACTAAAAGTACATACACAAAAACAAATAAAATAAGCTGTAGGACTGAAAATAGTACAGTATCAAAACCTGAAAATACTATTTTAAAGCATCATTGCCAATCCAACATTATCTTGCACGACTTCATATTGCATCCGTACTTTCAATTCTTCTGCAGAAATACGTTAATGCATATTAATATATGAAATTACTTAAGATGGATTTAATTCATAGTTGAACAGCCATTTTTTTAAAGGTGATTTTTAACAAGTGTTTGAAATAAAGATGATATCTGTGATAAAACACTTAGAGATAAATTATTTCATAAGTTCAGATGCATACTTTTAAATTGACTTTAAAAAGTTAGTAACGTACCTAGATCCAAATAATCCCTTTTCACTTTAGACACAGGTAGATTGTGAATCAGCAGGAATGGCATATTTATGCAGCTGCAGAATTTGGTCCAAATCATACATGTTCTTCTCAAAACACTCAGAACAAGCAAATTATCTGTGACAATGGAGTAATTTCTACTGAAAAATTCAAGGGCGGCTGCATACTTCTGAAAGAAGTTTGATTTGGGGGTTATCTTATTTGTTGAATTTAATTCTATATGCTAAATTATAAGTAGTACCAAAGGCCAAACCAGCTTCTCAGTCCATCCTATCCTTGTACAAATTTCTCGCTATACAGCACCTTAGTGTCATTTTCCTTCTCCTATGATCTTCGTAAAGAGCAATGTCAGCAACAAACTCAAACATCCTATTAGAGAGGCAACTGAAATTCATTTAAAAAAGGGCGCTGCCCACTTTTCAAGGAATAGTTGCTACGTGCAGTAAGGAGAGCACATTTTCAAGGAAGAGATGTAACCTGGAAAGCTTTAATTCCTAGCTGCTGAATGTTGACACGCTGGTCCTCACCATGCTCTGTGAACTCTTACCCTCAGCGACAGTGAGCAGGTTGCCCAAATCCGTGGAGGAGTGGCACTGGGCTGGCTCAGAGCTCTTGACGTTCCCCAGTGGCAAAAATGGGTCGTAATCACTGGACGAGAGATCCGCCAGACTCAGCACGTAATGGCTTTGCTGAGTATATGTGCTGGAGCCATTCACACAACAGTGCAGAACCTGCAAGTAGACAAGCATGACACTGAAGAAGTAATAAAGTGCACATTACAGTACCCACTTAAACACATTCAATGAGGAGTGACCCACCATAATTTTTACATTGTGAAAGCCAGGACATGCTACTAAAAACATCTATGTCTAAATACAGCATTTTTAAAGTAACATTCTTCATCAGCACTTATTTTGTACTTTAACAGTTGACTTCAGGACCTATTTTGTATTTTAACAGCCCATTTCAAATAATTAAAATATTTCTACAAAAATTATTTTCCCTGGCTCCTTGTTTTAAGCATTTTACCTTTCTCTCTTCACCATCCTCCGTCTATTCTACATCTCTGATCTTATCTTAACATTTTACATTCTTAACTTCTCATCTGTATGACTTCTGCCCACACCGCGAGAATTCATGATTTTCTACAGCTTGTTAAAAATGCTTCTGTGCCTAACAGGATCTGTGAAAGGCATCTTTAAACATCTAGACACAATAAATCATGTTCATTCCTCATACTCACTCTGTAAATATAGTCCAGTAAAGGAGCTTTGGATGTGTGCTGATCTTCAAGACCACCAGCAGACACCGGCTCCAGCAGCATTTTCATGGGTAATGCCATACACCAATCCAACAAGCAAAGTAGCAGTGAAACTATAAACTAAACAGAGACATGTAACACAGTATTTAAGTATATTCTATTAAATTCACCTAAACTTAAAGGTATGAGTTTGAAAGTTTAAAATACGACTCTGGTTCCAAGCAACTTCATTTAATAACCATCTTGAACAGCAAAAAGAAAGAATGGAGACTGCTCTTTTCAGTGACGTACCTTTTTATCTGCTTCCACAGAGGAGTATTCAGCACTCGGCAAAAGAAATGCAATAGTGGCCACAAGGATCTACATTGAAATAAACAAAATTCCAGAAAGACATTTAACTTCTTTTGCTATAAAGACAAAGCACGAACTTCATTTGAACAGGGTATAAAAAAGGTTAAACTCTCTTAGGAGCATCTAACTGCTCTAAATCAATGTCCAAGTGAAATGAGAAGTTTCACTGAGCATTTTGGAAACAAATCACTACAAATGAGAGAAGTACACTGGCCCTAGGACTACAGCAAGTACATCTCTTAACAATAATTGCAGAAGAAAGAAAAAGTTAACTCGAAGTCACAGTTACAGTAGCTCAAGTAAAGAATTAAGGAATTAAGACAATTTTGCATACGATTTCCATACAAACATTTTAAAGAAACTGACGTACTTCAGTAATTTTTCTGGACAGAGAGGATTCGTACTTCTGAAGCTTTTGCCAATAAGATACCAGCAGCTGAAGAACATCACAGGCTACTTGAGCTACCAGTTTATTAGAAAACTGGAAGAAAAGAAAAGATGATTAAAAGCCAAATAAAATATCCAGATACAACACATTCAGCTTTTCTACATTTTAAATTATTTTGCATCTATACAAACAATAAAAAATGTTAATGTTGCAAAATCACACTGTCAGCATTAGGAAACAGCAAGCTTGACATTATCTATGTAATCTTAATTTGGTCTGTTGTGGAAAGGGTCTTTAGGTACATAATCACATGCTATTTTTGCAAATATTTTGCGCTTTTGTACAGGATACCACCTTGACGACACTGAAGAACTGTGCGTATACTCCTCGGCAACTTCACAGGAGCCATAAGGGCCTGAACCATGCTCACTGAACATAACGAGCTACTAATTACATGCAAAGGTTCAGAACTGGGAGACATCTTTTTGAAGATGGCCAATGCCATATCACTAACACTATGCAAAAAGCCCTGAGCAGTTGTGTGTTAAGCAGCATCCTGTCAGTGCTTTAAGCAATGAAAAGACAAACCAGCATATTCTGCTCCGTATAACCAACAACTATTTAAAAAAAATGAAAATACCTTTTTTACACAATGTTTATTGATTACAGAGACTGCCATAGTAATACCTTCAGTGTCACACCTATGACATTGATTGCTTCCTTCACTTGGGGATGGTTTGTGCACTGCGTTAGTTCTTCACATATCCAAACTCCAAGGCCACAAATGGCTATGCATCTTTTTTAAAAGAAAAAGTGTTTTTGTCAGAAGTTTTAGAAGACTATTTAGAAAAAAGAAAAAAAAAGAAAAAGAAAGAAATGTACAAAGACACGATCTCTCTTTTCCCTCTCTCAGGTCACATAACAGGTCAACACCTTCATGGCGAGGAGCGAACCTCATCTCAATAGGGCTGAAGTGAGTAACTCATCCAAACAGGAACAAACCACAAGGCAGTAGTAACAACTCAGCTGTACAAGCACCAAAAAAAAAAAAAATCAGTAGACAGGAGGACTTTCCCATTTTTTCTTTTACTCAGTATTTTACCTTGCAGCTTCACTTGGCTCCTCTGTAGCGTTCTTCAATAAAATATTTATGAGGTAGCACTAAAATAATAAAATACATTAGAATAAGCATCTTTTTCATACATCCGCTTTATTTAAAGTTGTTTAATTTTGACATAGTTACAAGTGAAACAACTTCAATTTTCAGTCTATTTTTAAAGCATTTTTACTACATGCCAATTTTATTTTGTCAAGGAAAAAATACTTACTGATTACAACTCAAATATACAGGCCCTTGTGGACAAATCTAACCGACTTAAAATCATGTACAGGCAGCACAATGGAAATCAATTAATTTTCAGAGTTGGTGGGTATTTATTAATGATGAGCAGTGATCACTTGATAATACAAACTATAGTGTTTAAGTTTTAAGCAAGCCATGTTTTGAAAAATTTAGTGTATTTCTTAGTAGAGAAAAGACACTTAAAATTGAGATTGTTTTAACACACCTCCAGTGTGTTAAAGGTCCCTCCGAGGCCTGATGAAGAAAGCAAGAACGGGAGCCAAGCGTGCTAAGGGTTTTGCATTCTCTCTGGTTCTACCTTCTCAGGCTGCATGAGAAATTCGGACATTCCTCCCCAGCTTTACCTAACTTTGTGCAGTGGATCAGCGTGGTGCCTCAAGTTTATCGAAAAGCAACGGAGGCTTGTGCGAGGGCAACCATTTGGACAGGTTTCACCTGCAAGTGATGCCCAGGTCACCAGGCGTATGTGATTTTTCCCCCACCAAGAGTACTGCTGTGAAGGTCATTAAATTACAAAGCTTTCCGTTCAGCAAAACAATTCATGTCTTGGGATGTCCCACTGAAACTAATTCTCAGGGGAAAACCATTCACATTAAGTTGATGGTTCTGTCTAACAGTGGAATTTTCTTAATGTTTTACTATAATACCAATAAGGCAAAAAATATCTCCCCTTATGCACACCCCACATCTCTTACAGGACAAGCTAATATACACAGATACAATGAACGGACACTTTAAATAATACCACCAACATCATTTAATGAATTGACCTGACAGGCATCTGGCTGGAAAACATCGCATTTGATCATAGCCAGTTCACTCTCCTTGAAAATAAAATGTAATTTGCAGTATCTAAGCTTTGTTAATTTTATGGTGCATGTTAAGCAAAGCAATGCTTATCAAATAAGTACATATAATGTGTGCAGTTGTGGGGTTTTGAGGAGAAGGAGGGGTTTATTTTTTAAACAAAATGTGCATGGTAAAAATGAAGTGACTATGTAGTAAAAATATGTTAGGTTACATAAGGATTTACCAATAAAATGTGACTTTACCTTCACATCTGCTGTTCCTGCGATGATATCACCGGCTTCTGAAATGGGCCGCAAGAGTGGGATTTCTTGGTAGATATTTGGAAAGCAAACAAGAGAACCAAGGATGGTATGAGCTTCTGAACGGGGAGCCTAACGAAGGAAAAGCAAACAAAAACATTTTCTTCATAAAATTATGAAAATGGCATAAGCTATGAGGCTAGTGTCTATCACTGTGCTGTATTCACAATGCAACATCAAAAGTGTCCTGAGGAACATGTCCCAGTAGCTCTTCCTTTACAACTACAGCAAAAGCAGCATTAAAGCAGCGACTTACAGACACTATGCTTCTCGCTGCTGTGTTGCTCTGCTCTTTTTCTGAGGCCCAGCTTCTCCTCCAGCAGGGACCTGGCCCCGCTCCTAAGCACATTCTACATTTTTTAATACCTCCTCTGTCATTAACAACCCAACTATGAGCAATTCGGTGTCAATAAAAAATACAGAACAACCTAAGGAAAAGCTGAGAGTTTTAAGCACTAATCCAGCACTACTATTAGTGGATCGTGTGACACAAAAGACAGCACAATGCACTCAAACTGACTGTATACATGATAAAAAATGCATAGAGAGATTCCTACTTCAATAAAACCATCAAAAGCAACATGGCATTAGCTATAAATGCATTAACTACTGCTATGTAATCTTGCGTAATGTTGAAAATACAATGCACGCTAAGTTTTATGCTTGTAAGAGAAATGGAAGGTGGTGTTGGGTTCCCCCCCCCCCCGGAAAGCTGAGTTTTCATTTCTTATTAGCACTTTAAGCTTTGGATCAATGATCAGTCTGATCAGTTTTTTAAAGAGACGTCAGAAAATTAATGGCTGTAAACTGTTGCAGGGACAATGGAAACAGCACAGCTAGGCTCACCGTTTCAGTCCTGCTGAAACACGAGAGGGCTGTGTCCCTGTGCAGGGCCACCCGCTCAGCCACACAAATGTCAAGAGCAGCGGTAAAAGCACTGGGCCAAAACGGACAGAAAGGTCTCCCCTGAACTGGTGTTTCACGTACAACAAAGCTTTCCTGTTTTTCCCAGGATTGCCAGACCTCTACCCTTATTTTAGCATCCCGTCATTGATTTGCTATTTTACTTATCCTTCACTAATTTAATCATTTAGAGTCACATTTCTGTTAGTGTTGATATTTAGTAAGAAATTCTGTATTACCAAAAGAGTTCCATATTTGCAATATTTGCTCGCTGAAAAAAGCTAATGAGATTCTGAAATCCAAGTCCTGCTTTTAGCGCGCAGGCGTGCTGCAATATTAGCAAGGATATGATTTCTCACACTTTGGCCTTTTGATGAAACACCTTTGCAATACTAGTATGTCACCTTATCCCACAATTTCACACATCAGCTGCCATGGTATCTGCCCCAAGAGCCCCGTTTCGCATTGCACTAATGAGTCAACACCTGTTAGAGTGGAGACATCCGAACCTCGTTAGCAAGCGCGTGCTCTCGGGGGACGGGGCACTGGGCATTGCCATACTCACCTCCAGCGTGTCTGTGCTCAGAACCCTGGCTGCTGCAGTGATGAAGTCTCCTATCAGCATCGTAAAGCCAGGTAAGCCCAGGAAGAAAAACCAAGGTGGGCAGTGCTTTATGACAGTATTTAAGATATCCTAAAAGAGAAGTTACCTGTTTGAGAAGAAATAAGGGGAAAAAAAAAAAAAAAGCCCAAAAGCAAAAGGGAGAGTTTGAGAAGATTTAACTTTGCAATTCACCAGTTCCACACTAATCAAGGTGATAATTCAGAGCGCCACACAGCTCTATGTATAACTGAACATCATGTAACAACCACTACTTTCTGCTGCAGATGCATGTAGTAGGAAAGGTGCATTTTGTATTTTGGTAATATTTGTACTCTTAAATTCCTGTTAAAAAAAAAAAACCAACAAATACCCATGTCTCTGTGTCTAAGCACAAAAGAACTGTTCTCCTGTTAAACAAGACTTTGGATTCAAAACATTCAAACCATTAATCAATTTAAGATGAATCATTACACCACTCCAAATGAGGTATTTCCTAAAATCACATCACTCAAAATTCTGTAGCCATAAAAACGTGAGATGACACAAATGACTGCCACCTTTGCCCTGAAGGAGCTCAAGGCAGTAACTGACAGCAGGTGGCTTACTACTGTTAGGCTGCTCCAGCACATATGGGATTTTTTTAGCTATTCTGGACTAGCTGAGAAATACAGCAATGTCAAATGCAAGAAGTGATTATACACAGCACAGTAACACAGATAAATCTATGTTAACTAGATTATTCTAAGTCACTATTCTTCTAAATAATTAAGATAGCAAATATAGATAAGCCTTGGGGAAAAAAAGAGTTTTGCTGAACTTTTGAAGGAACAGAGGGGTTTTTGGTTTTTAAGAGGTAGCACTGTATGTGTAAGAATAGATCACCAACCACAGCTTTGCTCTCATCTCATCTCCTGTAACACAGAACACATTCGAGATAAGCGTTTCAACTTCAATCCTTCCATGTTTCAATTCTTCACAGTCTCTCCAAATCAGAGCAAAGTTCCTGTATTTGAGTTAAGATTTCCCTCCTACAAGGTTTCAGCAGGTTTAAAATTAGGCACAAGATCTATATAATCTTTACCTGCAACATATATTTGCTGAAGAATTAGATAAAGCTATTTCTATATTAAGTAGAAAATTATTTTTCGTCTCAATAGAATTTCAAAGAAAAGTTGCAAAGGAAAACCATTTCAATGTCCATCTTTACTGGTTTTACGATGCGTTAAAGAAGGCTTGAACTTAAATTTAGTCCCAGAATGTGTCCATATGCTCAATTTCTACATCAGAAACTAAAAAAGTCAAACTCATTTTTCTCTATGTGAAGATATGCTTTAACTACACTAGTATTTTCTCAAAGCACTGCTAAACACCGGGACACCAACCATTTAGTGTTCTGCTAAGTATTTACTGCAGTAACATCCTATGAAGTAACTGTGTTATATATTTTAAATCAATAACATTAGTTTTTAACATAGTAGCAGATAATGCTTTCACTTTCCTGAATAAGCTAAAATGCCACTCGAGTTAATGTTTAAACTAGTTTTAATCACTTCCTTTGATACATTTTAAAGTCAATATCAGTCAACGCAAACATTCAAAAAGAGAGAGCAGATGGATGCAGCAGCTCATAAAATGGGTGGTAAACTCACACTCCGAGCAGAACAAAAGACCCACCTTTTTATAATTAAGGGTCTGATTAATGCACCGGGCTCCTCACAACACAACGCACCTGTAATTACGAACAGAGCCAGGTACTGTGATGTGTTTGGTCTCTGAATAATTGGGCATCAAACTATAGAGCAGCAGATGGGAGTACACTTCTGTTGACATATGCCACAATAAAAGAGCCGGTGCTAACCTGGCCTGAAAGGTAACAGAACGTAGGAAGTACAAAGACCTGCTACAAACAACTACGTTAACTCCTGTCCTCGCTCCATCAATCCCATCTGTTAAATACCACTGTAATGATCATCCGGCTTCATCGACTCTTAACTACTGTCATTGTATAGAACACTTAGAAAACGAGGATAAAATAGAAATTGCAAAACCGTTACTTTAATACCCATGAGTTTACAGCACAGTATAACTAATACAACTTTAACAAATGCTGTGACAACACACACGTTCCAAAAAAGCTGCAAGAATGTGGTTGCATGGATCTACTTGCTGTTTATGAGACATATTACTACTAAAAAACCCAAATTATTTATCACAGCAAGAAACCTTTGAAAAATGCATGGATCTACTTGCTGTTTATGAGACATATTACTACTAAAAAACCCAAATTATTTATCATAGTAAGAAACCTTTGAAAAATTTATTTTGAAAAGCTAATGAAACAATCCTCAATTTCTCTTTTTTGTTATGTAGCTTTGAACTGATGAATTCACAGCACAGATCATATGCTGCGGTGATACAACACACACATAACTGTTAAAAGTTAACAACGTACAAGTGCATGAGAACCCAGACAAAAAAGTGTTCAGCCTAGCTTTCTACTGTTTCTACCACCATTTTTTATCTCAGGCATTTCAGTATAAATTTGTGATAGTTTGAGTGACTTCATTTAAATTAATACCAGGCAGAATATGCCCTGACTATAACACTGTTGTTCTACTTGAGCTTACGCCAAACAGAACGGACAGGCAAAAAACCACACCCCAGGAAGGTGCTCTCAGGTAAAATTTGACAGTTTTTCTGCCATTTCCCAATTAGCACACTTCCATGCACAACCCAGCTAACGATAAAGGCATGATTTCCCGCAGTAATTCAGTAGCATTGCGAGCTTATCAGAAGATTCGGGCTTATGAGAAAGCGACCAAGTGAGAACATATGTCCTATCAGTGATATTGCAAAAATCAGGTAATTCAAACAGAGGCAAGTTGTTTCCTTCCCTTCAAAGCGCTGTTCTATAAATGTAAACTCTGTTCAGCAGCTTACAGCCTAGTAAATGAATCACTTTAATTGAATGCTATGTACACAGTAACTGGAAAAACACAAGCAATAAGAAAAACATATGGTGATGGCAATAGAAATTGGTTTACTCATTCTGTACAGTGTTGTTTCTTTACTTCTTTCATAATTGACCTTTAGAACGATAAATGTGTAAAATAATTTTGGTTTATTATGGCTCCAAACCTTTCAGCAATTACACAAAATGAAAATTTAAAAGGAAGTATTCATTCTGGAAGCATTTCCATTGTTTACATAATTGCACAGCTATAATTTAGTGTTCATGTTGTTAAAGAAAAGTGAAAAAAGGACCATTATGGACTATTTCAATTCAAAATGATGCTCTATAGTGTTAAAAACGGGGAGGAGGGGAGAGAAGGGGGCAATCACATGCATGTCCTTCTCAAATGCATTAACCCTACAAATGGCATAATATTTCAGTATAGGTTGATCTAGTAATCCAAATAATAAGGTCAAACATCCACTGAGTAAGTGAAAAAAATTTATGCAAGTTCACTGAAGGGTCAATTACAAAAATATTCTTCACCTAATTTTTGTTCAAGCTTTTGCAGATTACAGGTGTAACCAAATAGCCTGCCATCTGCCTTCATCACGTTTCCAATTGTCCCTCAACAGGAACAACATGGATTTTTCACTTAAAGTTCGCTCTGTTCTTCACTGACAGACACCTCATTAGGGGCTGAAATTTACAGCACGGGAAAGATTATTAATTTACACAAGACTTAAGTGGTATATCCTTCATTTTCCTTTTTTATTTTAAAGGAACAAACACTTCCATGTACTTATTCCAAGTTTTCCTAGCTATCATTACATTTTAGGTAAGAGTTAACTTGTCAAAAATTAAATTCCAATAAAAATTTATGAAGTATTTTGACACCCTCAGAAAGCACAGGATTAGCTTGTCAGAAAAATCCATTTCAATCTGTCATTTAAATCTAAGCTCCAAAAAAGTTATATTTGCTAAAGTATCTTGTGACCAAAATGCAATAGGGAGAGATATTAAAAACCAAAATAACACTGCATTTGTAAAACATGGATAAGATTATTCACAAGTGCTAAAGATGACAGATTACTGCGTAAGTCACTGCTGGTAATTGCTCCTTCCCCTCTAGACTACATTAGAAAGCTCTCTCTTTTAAAGTCGTATTAATAACAAAAACTCCACCCCAAAGCCCTTGTGCTGACAGACAGGTGCTCAGATGCCCTATGAACAGAGATCAGACAAACATGTGAAGTGAACAGAATTTTTAAAGTTTCTCCCCTTTTAGAGTATGATATTTTCACAACCTAGGAGATCATTGGGATTAAGGATACACTTCAAACTGGAAGAAATATTTTAAGTTCATGCACACTGAGAGGGAAGTATCTGAATATGGATTTGCTACAGGTACAGAGGTATGGGTACCGAGAACACAGTTACTAGTCCATGGCACTGCTTGAAATGTTGAGGTGACTTTGTGTCACCATATGGATTTCTCCCAAATGCCTGTGGCAGGACCACTTCGAAGTCTCGACTGTTAAGAAACCAAGGTGGCAGTGCTGGAGCACCTGTAGAGCACGAGGTTAACCGCTTAGAGGGAAGGTGGTTTTAGGGAAGGGAACATGAGCGCACCTCTGAGAGGACAGGTAAAGGAGCTCCCTGCAGTGCACAGCAGGAAGGCAGGCCCTCCACCTTAGGTGGCAATTAGCAGCACTCTTAACACTTTTCACTTTCACCTGCGTGCTGTATCAGTTTTCAAGATGGAGGAATGCATGCAGAGGAGAAGGGATTGTTTTGCACGTTTTTATTAGAACATCCCAAAAAATGGTAAATATGTTAAACCTTGATTTGCTTAAAATAGTCACTCTCAGAATTTATCATGTAACCTTGCTTAAAAGATAAAGACAACAGCTAAGCAGGAAGTTGAATTAAAACATGTCTGAAGCAAAGAAGCACAATTACACACAGAGGGGAAAGGACGGATCCTGAAGACACAGCCCAGCTGAAATAAACAGAGGGAAAGGGGGAAGTCAATTAGAGAGCTAAGGGTGACAGATGATGAAACAGCGTTGCATCGCAGGGGCACGTTAACAAAGAAACTTACTTTGGGAGATCCCAAAGCTACAATGATGACTGG